GGGGCGGGCAGGGGCTCGGGCCCCCAGACCCTCACAGAACCCCGTCCCCAGACACACCAGAACTTCCAAGGAGCCCCGCCCCCCCAGCTGCTCCACACAGCCCCAGGAGGCCCCTGACACCCCCATCACCACCTCCTTCTAGCCCTGAGATACATGCGGGGCCCCAGGCTCTGTAACAAGCTCCCCCGGCTCCCCACTTTCCTGTCCTCCACAGCGGCCGGACTCCCCCCCTCGCCGAGACAGCCTGGCTTCGCTGTTCCCCAGCGAGGAGGAAGAGAGGAAAGGTGAGTGTCCAGGGGACGGGCCCTAGAGGACGACTGGCCCGGGTGGGGGTGGCGGCTGTGACCCGTCAGACCCCCAGGTTTCTGAGCAGGGGTGGGGAGGGTCAGGAGGAAGCAGGTGGCTGGTGACAGCAGACAGGCGAGGCTGGAGGCTGTGAGGCCACCACCCCGCGAGCCAGCAGGTGCCCACGTTCACATCCCACGGGGCAGGTGGGCAGCTGTGTCCATGTCCCCAGGATGCATCCGGCCAGCCAGCGAGATGCCCGTGATCCCAGTCTTACAAGCCGGTCCCGGGGCCAGGTGGACAGCGAGGTAGTGCTGGGGGGGTTGTGTCCCCTCACATGAGTGACTCCAGCCCCCGCCCCAGGTTCTGAGGCGGCAGGGGCGGCGGCGGCTCAGCAGGGCGGCTACGAGATCCCGTCGCGTCTCCGGACCCTGCACAACCTCGTGGTCCAGTACGCAGGGCAGGGCCGCTACGAGGTCGCCGTGCCTCTGTGCCGCCAGGCCCTAGAGGACCTGGAGCGCAGCTCGGGCCACTGCCACCCTGACGTGGCCACCATGCTCAACATCCTGGCACTGGTGTACCGGTGAGGGCCGGCCACGGCTGGAGGGGGCAGGGGGGGCCTCTGGGGTGGCTGTGGGAGGAGGCCAGATCGGGAGAGGGAGGGGGACAGAGATCGGGTTGGGGGGGTTGCTGAGACCCAGGCACCAGAGACCCCAGTGCAGGGAGAGACCTGGGGTGGCCAGGAGTTTGGCAGGGATCTGGGAGTGCGGGGAGCCAGGCTAGAGACATGGGAGGTATGGAGAGACCCGTAGGGCCCCCAGGGGGTGCAGCCCATGCTTGGTCCAGCCCGGTCCCTGGGCTTGCTGGGACTAGCCCAGCCAACACCCCCATTCCTGTGGCCGCCCCACAGGGACCAGAACAAGTACAAAGAGGCCACAGACCTTCTGCACGATGCCCTGCAGATCCGGGAGCAGACACTGGGCCCCGTGCACCCTGCGGTGAGTGGGGCCCCGCATGGGAGGAGGCACTATGGGGCTGTGCCCTCCCGTTTCTGACCTGTGCTCCTGACCCTACAGGTGGCCGCCACCCTCAACAACCTGGCGGTCCTCTATGGGAAGCGCGGGCGCTACCGGGAGGCGGAGCCCCTGTGCCAGCGTGCCCTGGAGATACGAGAGAAGGTCCCGTGCCCTCACCCACCTCCCACGGAAGCCCTTGTCCTGTGGCCCTTCCCATTGGCCTTGGGGCACTTACACTGTGACCCTGGTCCCCTGATACCCCTTGCATTGGATATTGGAGGCCCCAGTTTGAGCCTGGATCACTCGATCCCGCAAGCCACCACCTTGACCTTTTGTGAGCTCCACTGATTCTGATCCTGACTCTGCCGTCTCCTGCCCCCTCACCTCTACGCCCCGGCCTGGCCCTCCCCTTCAGCCCCACATGACCACCAGTACAACCTCAGCCTTGATCTACCCGTGTGACCTGAGTTTCTGGACCACCATGACTTCTGACCTTGGCGATGCCCCAGTGGGATGGCACAGCCTGTGCCTGCCAGCCCCCAGCCTGGTGTCTCTCTCCACTTTCGATCCTGCAGTCCCTGACCCATGACCCCCGTGAGGGCGGTAGCGTCACGTGGTCCCCACTCCTGCAGGACCCTGCTGACGTGTGACCCTGGCCCCCAGGTCCTGGGCACCGACCACCCGGACGTGGCCAAGCAGCTCAACAACCTGGCCCTGCTCTGCCAGAACCAGGGCAAGTTTGAGGACATGGAGCAGCACTATGCCCGCGCCCTGCGCATCTACGAGGCCCTGGGCGGGCCCCACGACCCCAACGTGGCCAAGACCAAGAACAACCTGGTGAGGCCCGTTGGCTGAGTGCAGGACGGGCGCGGGGGTGGGACCCGCGAAGCCAGGAGCCCCAGGCCCAGCCCTGGAGAAGGTGTCCCCTCAGACGCCGCGTCCACCTGGCCAACTGGAGAAGCCACGCGGGTGGGCCGATGACGGCTCCACGTTCACCGAGCCCACTGCCGGCCGGCCCTCCTTGCCCCTCCCC